GCAGAACCAACAACAACAACAACAACAACAAAATAGCAATACGGATTGGGAATCCTGATACCCGCATTTCACAGCTACAACGACCGTTCATATTCCAGCCGCGTATACGTATTGCGTATTACGTATACGCCGTGTAAACAGTATGGCCGGCCCAGACCCTTTCAAAAACACCGCATGGCAAATAAGAAGAATCAGTGAGTGGTAGAAAGAAGAGGCGGAAAAAGCGTTACAATAAAATGCTGAAAAATCAACACAATTTTCAGCACTCTTTCGCTTTTATGCCCCTCCGCTGTTGTTCTTTTTTATTCGTTTTATTTTTTATTTTAACTTTACCACTCGGTCGGTCTGGTTTTTCCCAACTCTTTATAGTTTTATGTTGCAGGAAGTTGTTGTTGGTTTTATACTCTGACGGTGAAGGGTTACGACGAGGCAGGAATGTGAATCCAAAAATATTGAAAATTAACAAAAATAATAATAAAAAACCTTTTAGGGGTTTAAAATCAATCGATTTGCTTAGAATTCTCCGATTTTTATTCTTTAAAGAGTCCCTTAAAATGTATTTTAAAATTAAGTTTTATAATTCAAAAGTTCAGCTATAATTTATCCTTAAACTTCTATAAAATCATTTAAAAATCAATCACAGAGCATTTGAAAATAGTTTTTCCCATATAAAATGGATTCAATTTTCTCCTTTTTTATATGAATTGATTTTCTTGACTGTATTTTTGTTGGATTTCCGCATTCGCATGCAAATCGACGATTAATCAAAATACCACTTTCCCCCAATTGTTGCTGCAAATTACATTTTTCACGTTTTTCGCGTTTTTCGCTGACTGAAATGACAAATTTACACAATTGGCAGCCGATCAGGCATTGGCTGGGTTGATGGGAGCTGATGGGGCGATGGCAATGACGAAAGTCAAATTGCGAAAGTTAATGGAAATAAGTGAGAATCGAGCGAGAGAAGCCGCAGCAGCAAATACATGCAACAACTTGTCGTGTCCACTCTGGCGTCCTCTCGTGAATTTCGATTTCCATATATAGTATTTGGGAGAAGGAACACTGGTTTAATAAGAGTTATACGTACGATGGTTAAGAGAGTCTTCCCGCATTCATTTGTGGCAATGGGAGGTTGGATTTAATGTGAATGCTATGGTGGAAGTTGGTGAAAGATTAACAGAGATTCGACTTTAGTCTAGATAATGTATGATTTTTATCAAATATTAAGTTGGCTCTTAAAAAGTGTAATTAAAAATTGTATAAATCCGCGACTAGTTTTTCCCTTCAACATATTTTATTTGCTAGAATTGCATCCAATGGGCCCCCTTGTTCTTCTCAGGGAAAATAGGGCGTACCTGCCTCCCTCCCTTCAAAGCCTCCTTCTAGGTGCTGCTCATTTTGACTTTTTAATAACATTAATTAAAAGTGCGCAAACTGAATGAAAGCGCTGCCAGCGGACCGGACCAGCTACGCTGCTCTTCCCTCCGCCTTTTCTCTGTCCATGAACTAACCATTGCCCTCTGTCCGTTCCTCAGTTTGGCCGTTTGCCCGTCCGTCTGACGAGCCTTCCGCGTCTGCCATTCCCTTCGACGCCTTGGCAAACAAAGGTAGCGGCTACGTGGAACGCAAATGGAGCAAAAATTAACTAGAAGTAGGGAACTACAGAGAGAGAAAAGTCTAGAAAATGATTTAAAATTAGTTTTTTGTCTTCATTTTCTAAAATTCAAGGGTCTGTTTGGTGGGAAACTAGCTAAGAAGAGCTCTAACATTACCTTATTAAAAATCTATGCTTTTTTTTCTTTGCATTTTAAAGTATCTTTTCTTTTCGTTCAGTGCAGGTGAACGAAACGAAATCAGTAGCAAAGGCAAAGGCAAAGGCGAGTCCTCCATGTTCAGGCCCGAACTGAAGCAACCAAATATTAATGAATGGGTAAATAAAGCGGCGAGAGCTTCAGCACCAAGCTAGCCAGAGCTAGGCAGCAACCCACCCACCCACTCGGAGGTCCCATACCACCACCGCCTTTCGGGGCGTGGAACAACTCATCCTCGTGGAAAAGCCAGGCACGTCTTTCATGCCTTTTCCCTTGGTTATATAACGGTATAAATTTCTAGTTAATTAATCACCTTTCGCTTTGTTTATGGCTAATTTAATTAATTTTATGTCTTTTATTGTTCCGTGTTGCTGCTGCTGCTGCTGCTGCTGCTGCTGCTGCTGCTGCTGCTGCTGCTGCTGCTGCTCTCTGGCTATAGGGATGCGGATACGGATACGGATGCGGATGTTATGGAATTGAAATTGAAATTGAATTGGCAGAGGAATCGGAATTGAGCTTGAGAAAACTAAGGACCCTCTGCTTAGTAACTCTAATTAATGGTAAAAAGGATAACGACGAGTGAGTTTATGATCTTTACAGCAGTGCGCCTGAGTGAGTAAACTGAAATATTTTCTTAAAAAGAAAGACATAGTTTGACAATAGTCAGTGAGAAAACTTATCAGGGTGATAGGATATATAGGTAAATCGATATATATATTCCATAGGTAGGGATAGCCGTGTGTTCCTGAGAAACTATATGCCTTAGAGGTATCTACTATAGGTAGTAGAAGTAGGTTTTTCATATCAGAAGCTAACTCAAGAAATGATGGCCTAAAATCTATTTAACATAACAAAATTTCTACATTTCCCAAAAGCAGCAACGTTCTATGGCATCGGTGGATTACTATATGCTTTCGAATTATTATTTTATATTTAATTTAATTTTCTTTGCTATTTTCATACCAAAATGAAAATGGCTCAACGTGGGATGAGAACAAACAACCATAACGATGATGTATGCCTGCATAAGCTTACATCTACATATATGACAAACACAAAGAGGAAGAAAACGGAAGTTAATAAGCCCAGTTTTGGAAAGTCTAGCTAAACTAGCCCCATAACCTTGAATGAATTACCTCGCCCATGGTGGTAAGTGGCAATCATTCATTTCACTTTAAAAATAAATTCTAATAATGATAAATTTATCTCTTTTCTATATTGCAGCGAGGAAAAGTGATAAAGTGAAAAAGTGAAAAAGTGAAAAAGTGATAAAGTGATAAAGTGAAAAGACAAGTACAAACATACTACAAACTACTACAAGCAACAAGCTATATATACGAATTGGAAAATGGAAATGATAAACTGAAAAACGAAGATCAACAATCAAATTATCCGAAGAACCATCTTTAATAATTGTAATGCGGCGGTAAGGTAGGTGGGAACTTTCTTTATCTCTCTATATTGCTATATTTTTATATCATTTATATCATATCAAATATATATTAAATGTTTGGCTTGCCAATCTGATTTTCATATATATTTATCGTATATATAAATATGTATTTTTATATCTATTTATGTATACGTTAATATATCGTCATATGTATATTATACATAAGTTGATGTACATATTCCTGCATATAGTATTTCTATATATATATATTATTACTATATATGTATAGATTAAACCTATGTTTGTATATACATCAACATATATACGATATATCTATAACGTCGATACGTACGGCGACGTTGCATGGTTTCCAACATTGGCTTACTTTTCAAAAATTTTCTAAAAATCAATATTTTTGCTATTTTCATGCAAACATGAAAATGGCTCAACGAGGGATGAGCACAAATTTGCAAGGCAAATATATGAGAAGTATACCCAAAGATGTTTTCATGGAAAACTGTAATTTTCCAAAATCAAGGTAAACTTTGAAATGTATCGACCTCTCTAGTAAGTTGGAGTGATTTATTTCCCGTTTCTTTAAAAACAAATTCTAATAATGATAAATTTTGTTTATTTACAAAACCAAATGCCACCACGACCGCATCCTGAGATGATCAGAAACATCCATGCACACCCATAAGCATTCTGACCCGCACCAACGCGGTAGCTGTAATATGTATCGAACCAATTTGCTAAATTCCTTTTGCTTAAACAAATTCTAATAACGATATATTTATCCTTGCATGACGCCAACCGGCGCACCGTCATCTTTAAATCATCTTTAAATCATCTTTAAATCATCTTTAAGTCATCTTTAACTCATCAAATCAACGTAAAGGTCGGTGCCCTTTTTATATTTTCCCTTGATATACATTCTGAAGAAATCAAAGGATTTCCTTCCAACGCATATTATCCCCTGAAAAACTGATACATTTGTGATCATAGAACTCAGAGTTCTGATCCAACTTCTCCAATGCTTAGATTAGGGAAAGACCGAAACTGAAATGAAAACGTACTTTCGCCTTGTTTGGCTTGCCAAATGGCTGAAAGTCATTCTGATTAGTTAGAAAAATGCGTTAAATATGATCAAAGCGATCTGTTAAATGAAAATGTGTTCTCCATATTACTGCGTCTACAGTGAATACCTACGATAATGGAATCTTTTCTAAATGTTATTTAGCACTTAAGTTAAGATTTTATAAACGTAAAAATGTATTCACTGTAAGCAAAGTAATGCTCTCTATAAGAATTCTCTAAAAAATCAGGAAAATTGTGTTTCAGAAAGCACTAATTTTCCTTAAACTTCTTCAATTTTGTTGTGGAGTGTAAAAAGTTACACTTGCTGTTGCATTATTATGCGCATTTTAAGATTGTTTTACCCCTTCGAAAGGCAAAGGCACTTGAAGGTGCTGCTGTATGAGAAGCTCTTTGTCGGCGTTTTATAGACAACAGCAACCACGCCCCCAAAGATCATCTCAGCCTCCCACCGAGCACAGTTCATTTGCCTTCGGCTGCTGTCATGCAGTTTTTCACCTTTTTTTTTTTTTTGTTTTTTATTTCTTGCCATGCTGCCTGCCATTGACTTGGCGGCTCTCCAACTTGCGATTTCAGCGATGACTTGGCAGTTGGTGTGAGGCAGCTTTCCACTTTTAAGTACCTGAATGGGTCTTGTTTCTGTATACATATACATATTTATTAATTGTTTAAAGCATAAAATACAATACAATGCTATAATAAATAAATTATTTATTTTAAATAATTTTTATACACGAGCTGTGCGAGCATGAAAAGGCACTTTTCATGCGGCGAGGCAATACGTACGTACACCTCGTCGATCCGCATGTTTAGCTTCTTGGTTGTTCTCTTTGTGATTTTTTTTTATATTTGTTTGTGTGAGTTTCTGTGGGATCCCCCTCCTGTCCCCGCGGACTTTCACTTTATGGCAACTGGGGGACAGATGGAGCTCTCTGGGCTCTTAGCTCTTAGCTCTTAGTTGATGAAGATGAGGCAGCAATAAATAGGTTCAAGCGGCGCTGATGAGTTCGATGCTAACTAGTGACTGATGACTAATGCTTGGCCTCCTCGTCGTTGACCACGATCGGTTCGATCTCCTTGACTTCGGCCGGGGTCTCTTCCTCATTATCGGGATTCTCAGGGAGGACACGAACCTCTACACGATTCGAAGAGCTCGAGGACTGTTCATGTTCATCATTGTCCTCAGTATGGGCCTGATCGTGTTCCTGTTCGTGATGCTCATCAGAGCGACTCTGAGCCTTGTGATTCTGGGGAAGATTCTGCTGGCTGGGCTGCTCGATGGCAGTGAGAATGGACTGCAGCAGACCCTGGGAGAGGATCTCCTCGTGGTTGGCATCGCCGGAGGCAACACCAGGAGAGTTATTTAGAGATCCACCGAACTGAACTTGGAAGTTCTGAGTCGGCTGTTGGGAATTCAGTTGGATGCTCTGTGACTTTTGGGCAGAAAGGACATCGAGTCCATCCAAACCAGGCAATTGATGGGGATCAGTGCCATCGGGAAGAGCAGCGACAGCATTCTTCTGTGAGGCATAGCCAGTGTGATCGTAGTCAATATCGTTTCCGGATGGGGGAGGGCCATAGCTGTCGGCTGGTCCGGTGATCAATTGCTGGGTGTGCTGCTCGGCCACGGGGATGCTCTGAGAGATGGCATTGTAGGCGCCAGGGGATGCGGCCGATACGCTGCCGAAGTGCTGTTGAACCTGCTGCTGAACCTGGTAGCCATTGCTGCTCACTAGATTAGGGCCATGTCCGCAATCGTGAACGATGATGGGCTGGGGCTGCTGCACCTGTTGCAGCTGCTGAACCTGTTGCACCTGCTGCAGATTGAAGCGAGGGGCCTGCTGGGGCAGGGGAAGTCCCTGGGAATGGAACTGTGAGGCACTGTAGCTGTTCTCCGAGTGATGGTGCTGCTGCTGCTGCTGCTGCTGGTAGAAAAGTGGTGGTGGGGGTGCGGCGGGCAGGTACTGCTGCTGGGGTAGTGGAGGTGGTGGTCCCAGGGGACGAACATTGGCCACTGGCGGTGGTGGGGGCAGGTACTGTGGCTCTGGTGGTGGTGGTGGTCCAGGAGGTCCGAACTGTTTCTGATGAATGAAGGCAGGGCCGGGCTGTGGGGCAGGCAACTGCTGCTGTAGGATCACCTGGGGAGCAGATTGTGGCGGCGGCGGTGGTGGTGGTGGCTGGTACAGAGCCTGTGGGGCGGGCAGTGCTGGTGGTGCCGATCCAGCCAAGGGAATCTCATTGGCCGCGGGTGGAATATAAGTGGCTGGCTGCTGCTGGGGCTTCACTCCAAACTGATCCAGATGCTGGACGGTGGCTCCAATAGATTCTAAAAGGCCGACGGGAACAGGGGGACGATAGGCCACCGGCTTGTTGGGCTGACCGGCTCCGTGTTGTGGGAAAGGTTGAGGATTTCCGGATGGGGGTCCATACTGAATGTTCACATTAGACTGAGAATGCGAGTGGGCGTGGCTGCTGCTGCTGCTGCTGCTGGTGAGGGCAGCGAATTGCGGTGGTGGAGGTCCGTAGTTACCACTGGGAGGTGGTGGAGGAGGTCCGTAGTTGCCACTGGGAGGTGGTGGTGGTGGTCCGTAGTTTCCGCTGGGTGGTGGTGGTGGTGGTCCGTAATTTCCACTGGGAGGTGGTGGAGGTGGTCCGTAGTTTCCACTTGGTGGTGGAGGGGGTCCGGAGTGTCCGATTGTCTGGTACTTCTGAGCATGCACCGAACCGGGGGCATAGGAATCTGAAGGTGGCTTGGAGTACGAATCATCCAGGGAACCAATGGCGGCCTTTAGGAAGATATTATTAAGAAAGGTCAAGGGAAGGGAAGGGAAGGGGGGTAATCTCCAACTTACCTGCAGAGCTTCCGCTTCAATGGAGTTGCCTCCGGGTCCGGTGATCAGATGGGCTCCATCGCCGCCGCCCTGAAGGGCCACTGCCACGAGCTGTTCGTCCGAGAGTCCGTCAATGATGCTTCCGCCGCTACCGCTTCCAGTAGCTCCCACACCCACTGAGGCACCACTGTACTGGGTTCCGAAAGAACCGCCATGTCCCTGAGCCACCTGGCTGTAGCCACCCTGGGTCTCAATGTGATTCTGCTCAACGTAGGCACCGACTGGAGCCGGAATTGGTTTCCAGCCATCGCAGGCCGTGTGGAAGGGTGCCTGGGATCCGCTAACACTGTGAGTGTGTCCCGATGAATCGATCTGGATCTGCACCTGTTTCACTGGTCCGGGTCCACTGGGTCCACTTGGTCCAGAATGTCCTCCGCCGCCGGTCAAGATGATCGTGGTGGCTGGTCCGTTTCCGTTTCCGTTTCCGGGCAGGGCAACAGGCAATGGGGGTGGTCCGTAATTTGGTGGCGGGGCATCGAAGATCTGCTTGGGCGGCAGATTAAGTGGTCCGGATGCAGGTGGTCCGTACGAAGTGGCTGGCTGGTGGGCGGGCTTGAACAGAGGTGCGGAGTGTGGCGAAGGCAGCAACTGAGGGGGTGGTGGTGGTGGTCCGTATTGCGGCTTAGGTGGTCCGTATTGTGGTGCCGGGCGGTGCTGGATCTTCAGTGGAGGTGGTGGGCCGTACTGTGGTGGTGGTGGTCCGTACTGGGCAGCCGGCTTCGGTGGTGGGGGACCATATTGTGGTGCAGGCTTTGGTGGTGGTGGTCCGTACTGTGGTGCCGGCTTGTGCTGGATATGAGGTGGTCCGTAGAAGGGCTTTGGCACTCCGAAGTGGGTCTTGATCTGTTCGTGGAGGGAGCCACCGCTACCACCACCGCCGCCGCCTCCTCCGCCCAAGAAGTTCAGCTTGGGTGGGCCATATTTCAAGGCAGGAGGGCCGTATTCGCGGAATGGAATCTGCTGTGGCACACCGTATTCCCGATGGGGTATGTGCTGTTGCTGCGATGGCGGTGGTCCGTACTGGGGGGCAGGGCGTGGCGGCGGTCCGTATGTGTCGAATCCGGCCTCGCGGCGTTTAAGATCCTTGCCGTTGAGCACCGCTTGGGCGGCGCAAAAGCAGCAGGCGGTCAGCAGAGCCACACGGAGGAGCATCTATGGGTGGGAAGAGGATTGTGGGAAATGTGGGTGGTCAGTCATTTGTCAAGATGGCATCTAGCGGGAAAATAGCTGGCCCCGAGCGATTGGACCGGAAGTTAATCTCCTCCAGGGGGATCCCCAGACAGGAGGGGAACCATAACTCAGAAAATCAAGTTTATAAACTGGCCTGGCACTGCCACGAAATATTGTTTATCATTTAGGTGATAAAAATGAGTTTGCTGTCTAGAAATGGGATTCCAAAGGCGCTACTCTTTCGGTTTATAATGGCAAGGAGAGTCCATTAATATATATTATAAGTTTAAATCAGAAACTTGAAAAGTTTTGATACTAATTCAAACCTCGTCTTGTTCTACTAAAGCTGTCTCTCTGAAAATCATCATTACTATTAAGGAAAGGGTATCTCATCTTCACCTGGTTAAATCTTAATCTACTTTTCCACCTTTTTTCTCGTTGTTAGAAATAACAAATGATTGCAACAGAAAGAGTTGTAAGGTGAAGGGTTAGTCGGCTAACCGACATCGTAATATCCATTGAGTGGCATCCGCCCAAAGTGTCTCTAGTTTCCATTCATCTCTGGACCTCAACAACCCCCTTAAACCCCCTTCGTTTTTCATTCGCGTCTCATTTGTCAGCTGTCTCGGTGACCTTTTTGGCCGCCGGCAACTTGTCAAGGCTTGTCAGGGGTCACAGTTCAACGAGTTGGCAGTCCGGCGGTCCGCAGGTCCTGGGTTCACGTGCCGCCTCTCAACCAGGTGTCGTTTTCCGTGTGTGTTTTGTGGGTCAACCTCTCTCTCTTTCTGACCAAGTATGTAACCATAATCTGCGCTAATTTGCAAACCTACGACCTGCCACATTTTACTCCTCGACTGTCAACACTGTGCAGCAAGGTTGAGTTGATGGATATTTAAATATAAAAACATTTTAATTGAAAAATCTGAACTTTTGCCTTTGGTTGGCTAAGGTCATCTTCATAAAAATTACCAAACTTTAATAATTTAAACTATAATAGTTTTTGACCTAAAAAAAAAGGTGTACAAATTTAATTGATAAAAAGATTGCTAAATCTTTAGCCTGGCCATTAAGCACTTATCACTAAATATTTTTTGGGCAACGAGGAGACGTGCTAATTGATCCATTACGGCCAAGTTTGTTGCGTGGTGTAATTGCTGGCATTGCGGTTGCCCAGAAAACGTTGGCGTGTATTACGCTCTAATTAAAACATAACCCGGCCAGCCACCAGACTTGTCATTACCATCCCATCCCATTCCATACTCGACTCAACGTCATTATCAAACATCATGGATGTCGCCGGCGCTCATCATGATCATCAATAATTCAGCAGGCGAGTGGCAAAATTCGTGCCAAGCCAAACACTAATTTATATATATATTTAACTCAAAAGCCAAAACAAAAGCACCGAAAATTACCAATTGGCCAAGATGGCAGAGAGAGAAAGAGAGAGGGGGGTTAGAGGCCATTTAATTGGTTTTATGTTTAACAATCAAAAGAGGCAAAAAGTAAAGCAAAAGGCAAAACAAATAAGCCACTCAAAACGGGCCAAAAGCATATCAAAACGGCGCTTCTTTCAAAATTCCACGCACAGCACGCGATTTGGCCGGTTGGTCGGTCGTTCGGTAAAATGCCAATAAAAATGGCAAAAAGGTGACGAAGCTGGAATGCCCTTATATAAGAAAGTGATTGGAGTAGGAGTTATGTAAGATGTGAAGGTACGAGTAGTATCGTTTCCGGGATGAGTAAAATGTTTTTTTGGTCAATGAATCAGAGTTTTTTACTGGGAGAAAAAACACAAATCTTAGTCATGAGTTGGGGATTTATATAATCCAGGATATAATTTCATGATTTACTGCAAGATGGTTGAAATTTCTAAAGAAATACTTTTCGATTTTCCATAAAATGTTCACCCTTTCTACTTCCCCTTCATAGAGTCAACTAATTTAACTCAACCTTAAAGATACTTTTGACCTTAAATGCCAGAAGCAGCTCATCAACTGCTCTTATGCAAATCTCTTACATAAGAAATCTGAATTGGAAAGAACCAAAAAAAAAAAGAGAAGAAAAACCAAAAAAACCTAAAACCATTATCCATCTGCAGGCCAAACTGTAATAGCCAAGTTATTACGGCATTTACCTAGGGATTGCATAATGCGGGGGGCAATCAGCAATCTTTGGAAATGGAAAAGTGCACCTCAATGGTCAGCGATGCGCATTGAATACTGCGATGACGACAACGGCTATCACAATAAGCCACAAAAATGTGTAGTTACAACTTCTTCTTCTGCCTTTTTTTTCTCCTTTTTTTTATGTATTTTTGGCCAGCGGCGGCGGCGGCGGCGTTAAAATGTCATAAGCGGTCGAAACGGCGAAGAAGATACACAAGTACAAGAGAGAGAAAGAAAGAAAGAAATGCCGAAAAGGTAACTTTCACTTGGCTTCGGGTGTATCTCAATATATTTCCATGTATCTGTCCGCTCTGCGCTGCGCTGCGCGTATCTGTGAGGTTCGTTTCGTGGGGATGAGTAGGTGTCACAAATGTTGGCAGTGAAATTATGCGCCGCATAATGAAAATACATTATAAAAGAAATGGCAAACAATTAAAGGGGCTGATGGTGTGATGGGCAAGAGCGTATAGGGTACTCTAAAAGGGGGGGGAGACGAGACCTATCTCTGTGCCCATTGTCTGTGAACCGTGTGAAGTGACCCGCATGTGGCCAGCACTTGCAACTCAATTCCATTGTGGATGGGATGGGTTTTTTAGTGGCGCCTTCATTTTTTCTTCTCTTCTTGTTTTTCTTTTTTTTTTTTGCCTCATATACGAGTCACTAAGGCAGTGAGCCGCATAGAGTACAGTTAAGCTCGAAATAATATGTCTTATTAGATTAAATTAAGTGAGTGATGAGCCAAAGTGTAGGTATTTACCTATAATAACTCTTTGGGTTACAAAGTTAAGATGTTTCTATAGCTCTTCTTGATCTTGCAAGGTTATAGCTTTAATCTTTACTGTCAGTGACCAGCAGCAATCCACCACCTGTCACTGGTCACAGTTTACGCTTTCGGTCACTACTCTATCCCAGTCACCACTTTCTTCTGACCAGCGTTCGATTTCTGTTCATTAGCATAGGCCACAAATATTTGTTATTGATGCTAAACAATTGACAACAACGGCAGACGGCAAACAAATGAAAACCAGGCAGAAAGGCAAAGGCAGAAAAAAACCAAAAAAACAGAAAAACAACAGAAAATATATATAGAAAAAAAAAACAAAACAGAAATAAACAAACAGAGTTGGGGCCGGCAAAACTTTCACTCTCGTCGAGAAGACGTAAATTTAGTTCGGAGATGAACGCGACACAAAAACCGGGCAAGAAAACACAGCCAGTCAGTCAGTCAGGAAGTTAAATCCGGAATGGGAATGGCCCAGAAAAAGGGTTGGCGGGGAGGTGGTCCGGGCCGTAAGTTTTTGGCCACAGCTGCCTTGCGTTCTGTTTTCCCAAAAGTCGAGAATCGTAATCTGCGTTAATTAAATTTCCCCTGCCGCCGAAGACAAAAGGAAAAGCCGGCAAATGTGAATGCGAAATTATTTATGAATCAATTTCGATAATGAATAAATTATGTCCGGAGACAGGAGCCTCTAGCCTCCAGCCTCTGTCCCGCCCCCTGACCCCTAACCCCCTGCCAGCCTTGGCCAATGTACTGAAAGCAAATGAATAATCTGCTGCTGGTCCCCTGGATTTGCCAAAACAATCCTTCGGATCCTGCATCAATTTTCGTTTGCAGCAATTTGAGGCAACCCTCATCAATTAGCAAAAGGTCGTGTCGCAAGGTCAGAGGGCCAAGGCGCAGGCGTGCCCAGCCAAAAAAAGGTAGCATTTGTTGCAGGGGGGAAAATTGGGATATTGATATGGATTTTAACGGGACATAATTAGATAGTTTGAAAACTGTTTAAAATTTTTATTACACATCTTAGTTTTCACTCCCCTCTTGACCTTCCTCAAGGCTTTTTCCCCATTAACTTTGAAAAATCTCTCTGATTATCTCAATTATTCTCCGTGTATTTGGATTTTTCCAAAGTTTTCTTTAGGGAAAATCTATTGCCGGGTGCTTATAACTTTTACTTTCGCTGGCATATCCCTAAAGTCCCTTGGACTTTTGCTCCTAATTGGGATTGTGTTTGAGTTTCTTCCGTAATCCTTTGCACTCGAGTCCAATTAGGAAAGCGATTCTTTACCATGCCAGCTGCTGGTGTTGGTTATCCTCGGCACAAGGCAGCACTCGAACAAAAAAAGGGTGTGAAGTTTCGATACGGCGGCGGGGGCACTTGCAACACAACAACAGGATTCCAGGACTCGTTAAAAAAATTTCAAAAAAAAAAAGATAGAAGTAGCTCGTAGCAGCAGCACACACGCGTAAAACAGATCACGGGATCGGTTCGGAACGGTTCGAATCGGTACGGATCGGCGGTATATGGGGGGATAAATATATAAGTTAAAGATTTCGATTTTCGGAACTGATCTCTCTCGACACAACGGATCGGCGACGGCGACCGCTGCTTGTCAGTCGCGAGTTGAAAATGCTGCCGCTCAGATGATAACGCCAGCTCATATAGGTAATAGCCCGGCCAGCGTCGGCGTCGCTGTAGCTGCGACGGCAGCTGCGCAGCCGCTGTAAGAGACCGAATCCGAATCCGAATCCGAACCGAAACCGAAAGTGAAGAAATTTCGTAAAGCCCGCGAAAGACGCTAAGACGGTACCGTAAAATCCAAATGAGCCAAGAGCAAGGTGCCGCCAAGCGCCAAGCGGCAAGCGCCAAGCCAAAAGGGACAGCAGAAGCGGCTAAAAATCAAGAGATTTTCCCTATTTTTCTCTGTAGAGAGAGCGAGAGAGAGAGAGAGCGACCAGTTTTGCAACATTTTTTACATCCATACCTTGGCATCTCGAAGGGGAAGGCAAGCAACCTTGCCACATGGGGCAAGACTGCCGCCGCCGCCGCAATTTGCAGTGCCAAGTGTCATTTTTTTTTCGGGGTTTTCTTATTTGTAAGCCAGTCGAAGTTGAAGATCCTCCTTGTCAAAGTTCAGAGCCTTGAACGCAGCTTAAAAGCGTTTTTCGAGTGACTCAGTCGGTATGGCTCTTGAAAATGTAAACATGACAAGCTTAATGGGTTTTCCGAGCGAGCGAGCGACATTTCCTCATGATCAGCAAGTCGCAGACAGGAAACTAAAGGCAGAGGCTGCATCTTGGAACTTTTTTTAGATGAAGTTTGAAGTTTTTAAAGGGTTTCCTTTAGGGCTCAACATTCCTTAAGATTCGCTAATAGTACGTGGACTAACTTTTAGATTTCTTAAATATTTTATCTCTGCTTAAAAAGAGGAAAACGGGTATTTAATCCCTTCTCCCTTCTCAGCAATACCAACTTATGATATCCTAAGAAGGCCTGAACTCTAATTCCTATCTATCTAGGGAAGAGAAGAGGTATTTCCCAATGAAGTTTGATCTTTCAAGAATCATTTTAAAGTATTTGCAAAATATATTTTGTTTCTAAAGGCAATCTTTAATAACATTTGCGCCATTCCCCTGTTGATAAACTTTAAAAAATATAACAAAAAACTTGCAATTTGTTTACAATCCATCCATTCATCTCGTATGTGTTTTCTACCTCATTTAAATTCCGATGAAAAATTCATTAAATGGCCAGTTTTACTTCGATACGGATTCCATTTCTATTTCGATTAATATACAGGCGCTATTTACATAATTTCCATTTCATATTACTTAATAGTCTCGTCGTCGTCGTCGTCGCCGCTGAAAGGCAAAAGCTGATTTTCTAGGTTGCCGTCGCCGTCGCCGTCGCCGCCGCCGCACTCGCCACTCTGGTGGATATTCATGAGTCGCTTTAATGGGCCAACCAGCGGCAGTAGTAGAACAATGTCAACACACTTGCCACAATGTCCGATACTGGAACTCTTTTTCCCATTCCTTTTTTGTTTTTTTTCTCTTTTTGTTCGTTTTGTATTTGCCCCATCTTTTCTACAAAGTTGAGTCATAAAAGTGCTTCGGCTCTTAACTTGTTGAAGAAGTTGCAGCAGCCGCTTGAGAGATCAAGTTTTCATCTTGGTGACCAAAAAGGGGTCTGTTTTTGGGGTGGGGTGGTGAGATGAGGCGCTGGTGCTAGTGCTGGTGCTGAATATGGGGATGGAGATGCGCGGCCTTCGCGTGACTCGATTTCGCTTTCATTTGCATTTCTGGGGCCACTCTTTTCACTGAATTTGTATTTTGGCTCAGTGGCAGGCGGCAGCCAAACCATCATCATCATCATCATCATCATGATGCTCCTCATCTGCATCCCAATCATCAGCAACAGCAGCAACATCATCATCATCATCTCGATGATCGTCATGGTTATCTCTCAAGAGTCCCCAGCCAAAACAAAATCCAGAAATGCGCTGGCTTTCTCGATTCGGGGAATGGAAATGGGTAATCCACACTCCTGCTTCTCCTGCTCCTGCTGCCTTAGTGGCGGACTGCATTTGAAAAACCAGAAAAGGATAAAGGCCTTTGTTGGCAACTAACTTTAAGATACTCTTTCCGGGAAACTACAAACTTGAAGCTTAGGTAGAGCTCTTGGGCTAATAATCTGAGACAAAAATCCCCTCGAAAATCCATCAATTTTCATGTATTAACCTAGTCGCTAGCCAAAAGCAGATGTTAACTTGTAATACCCTCTGTTAGGGTATGAAAGAAATCCAAAAATTCGCACAAACCCAGTCGCCAGACGCCAGCCATTTGGCTACTGCTGACCCTCTTCCCTCTTGGCCAGGTTACTTCACAGTTGCTGTTGCTGCTGCTGCCAAGTTTGGACTTCCTGCTGTTGCATCTTGCGGGTGCCGCATGGCCAGCATGTGACCAACAGCAACTGGCAACTGGCAACTGGCAACTAGCAACATGCAGCAGCAATATCAGAAAACAGCAGCAGCAACACAGCAACAGCAACAACAGCAACAGCAACTGCAACCAGTAACTAAGTGGCAATATTTTTGGGCCGCATCTGTTGTCCGCTGTTGCTTTTGTCATTACACATTTAAAATATCCCCTTGTATATATATATATATATATATATCTTATATATCTATATCTATTGGTGTCTGGGAGTGTGTGGGTATATGCAGCTATATAGTTTTTGTTTTTGGTCGGTCGCAATTATTTGCGCTTTTACTTCCTCGAGTCTTGCGTTGATGGCTACTTTCGTTTCGAGCTCTAAATGGGTTCATCGGAAAGAGAGCCCTCCAGCTCTCGATGATGATAAGGGTCCAAAAAAATGAAGACAAACTTGGCAATGCACTTGGGAGACTCTCAAAACGAATTTTCAATTCTCTTTTAATTTGATTTATTAAAGAAAATAAATAACTTTAAAGGTTGCTTTAACTTAATAATGATTAATAAAACTTAAGAGCTAAGGGGCTGCCTTGATAAGTTTGTTTTGGTTTCTCAAAATCACTTTCTTTCTTTCACAAGGAATGTATGTGGGTAGTCCAAAAATATCCAAATTTAGTCATCTTATGTGATCTATAAAACCAAAAGTGAACTGATGAGCTAATCTTTGGAAAGATGTGTGAGGCAGCTTTTTAAGTTGTTAGGATTTGGAAAGAAATTGCAAAGATTGTAAATGTTCCACTCATTTCTTTGCACTTAAGGAATCTTTATTCTTAGGGTTTATAAGTCTTCTTAAAATATATTTTTCAAAATATTATCAGGAGATAAAGCCTAACAGATAACAGATAAATATTTTCCCAATTCTCTATAACCATAAAAATTTGTTTTATGTTTTTATAAGCCATCTTTCCCATCATATCAACTGTCATAAATCATTGAAAAATCATTTTAAAAAGGAAAGGGCATTCAAGTTGATTGCTTTGTTAAAAACAATCAACAGTCAAGCTGTCAAGTTTTGCATCAAACAAACTCATTACCCGTCAACATTTTCCTTGACAATTTAATCTTTCATTCATTTTAAACTTAAACAGATAACCTAAAGACAACTTCTTCAATACCGAAAGGCTCTTACTTGATCAGGATTCAGCTTTTAATTAAAGGAAATAAAAATATTTAATTAAAATAATTAGGAAATTGGTTTTCTAGTTCGCTTGACTGAAACGTAAGCCCCTGGGAACCTGAACCTCGCCTGAACCTCGCCCCTGAACTTGTTCCGATTGCAGATCCCCATTCCGGGGACCCAGATCCGAGACGGCGAGTCAGAGACACGCACAAAAAACAATTGGGAAAATATTTAAAGAAGTGAAATTGCATTCCAATGTCATGAGGTGTTGCCGCCGAGCTGCCTGCTGATGCTGTTGAGCTGCTGCTGCGCCTAGGCCTCGCCCACATTTTGGCCTCCGTTTCGGTTTCGGTTTCATTTTTTTCTTCTCAGTTTTTTTTTTGTCAGACGTGGCGAGAGAGAGCCCTTAACTTGGCTTCAAGTGTAGCCGCACAATTATGCGGGTCCAGTCTCTCCCTGTCTTCTGCCCCCTTCTTGGCCAGCAGCCCCCCGCCCTCTCTTCCCTTTTCGCCGGAGTCAGTCATTCATCGCCGAGGCCTCCGGCTTTATGTCATGACGCAGGTATTACGCAATCCGCTTTCTTCTCGCTGTCTTTCATTCTCCCACAGAGGCACAGTGGTTGCTGAGCAAATGAAATAGGAAAAGGAAATCTTGTGATCTTGCAGGTGGGTTTGATTGGAAATTGTATAGGTTGATGTTCATGAACGTGTGATCTATATAGAGAATTAGAAGGATATAATATGTTTTCCTTAGGAATATCTGTTAAAGTTAAGAAAAACATTCTGAAAAGGTTTCTTAACTCGTCTTTCTAGGATACTAAAATATCTTATGAGTCATAGGAACAAGTTTACTTCAAGTTTCCATGCCGTTTCCATCACTTTTACTCCACTGTTCCCTGTTGCTATGACACTTGACGTTACCGTGTATCGAAGACCTGAGCTCCAGCATCCCAGCACACCTCAGCATCCGCTTCTTGAGGGCAAGACTCAGTCAGTGGGATGGAGATTGTAGATGTAGATGAAGAGATGGAGAGATGGAGATTCGAGATGGAGACAGATGGAGGCCAAGCCAAAGCGATTTGCAATTTGTCATGCCGCGTGCCGTGCTCCAAAAACCATTGATTGCCAAGCACAATTGGCATTGCCATTGCCATTTCCATTGCCTCACTTTCACAACGCTCTCTGGTGTACTTCCTCTTCTTGGCCCAAAAGCCTCCTCACTCCTCACTTCCCCACACCCCCCGCGCACTTATTTTAGCCCTGTTTATTTCTGTTGGCTGACTGGCTGGCTGGAGCTGTTAGTTTTGTACCCGAGTCTCGCAATTCGCTTTAATTAATGCTAATTAAATGCGCTTATCGCCGCGCCTCGGCTTATCAGCGGGTGCCCAGCACACTACGACTACAACACTCCACGACACTCCACCGACTCTCCGATTCGGTCTCGGATTCAGATCCGCATCCCCGATTCCCTGGTCTATGTTTTGCCATTCGGCCACCATTTCCCCGGATTCC